CCCCAGCCGGAGCCCGCGTCAGCCACGGGGAGAGACGGACCCCGTGGCCCGGCGGCCCGCAGCTCAGGCCGGTGAGTCCCGCGGGAGCCGCGCGCGCTCGGTGGAAGTTCGCGGCGTTGAGCCTAGGCGCGCTGTCCCAGACCCGCCTCATCTCTGCGAGCTAGAAGTTTGAGGCCAGGAGGCCTCCTGCCAGGTCCCAAGGTCTAGGTGTGGAGCCCCACGGGAGAGGGGAGGCTGAAGAACTTGAGGTGTCTGCTGTTAAGGGATTTTGAAGTGTAGCTTCTCATTTCTGCAAGGAATCCCCGGGACTCCGGGACCCTAGAGTCCTGGGCTCATCTGAGTCTCCAAACCAGTCGCCCTCCTGGGCACCAGCGAGTCTGCTGGCTTGGACAGACCCTTGAGGGTGGACACCAAAGGGCATGTGGAACCTTGTCATCCAGCCCCCTGAGTCCCTGGCCTTTTGTTGATGGGAATGGTTGAACCCTGTGGAACCGTCCTGGTGGTGTTGTGAGGATAACCTGGAGTCTGGCTCCTGACAGCAGGTAGGGGGTCCCTGACGGCTGGATCTCAGGCTCCCCAGGATACAGTGGAAGTGTGTGGGGAGGATTCAGCAGGACCCCTCTAATGAAAAACCAGGCTTGTTGAGGGAAAAGAAAGGATGCTAGAAAGGAGAGTCCTGTTCTTGTCACTTTATCTCCATGCACATACAGAGAGACCCAGTTGCTCCTAGTTGTAAGAGCAGGAAGTGAAAGGGGGGACACTGCCTGGGTATCTGAGATCTGTCCTCCTTCCCACTCCAGAGATCTCCACCGTGGTATGCCAATCAGAGGGAGTGGTTTTGGGCCTGCCTTGCCCTCAGCTACAAGCTGCTTATCTGTTTCCTGAGGGCCAGGTTAGTGGCCCTGATTTTTTTTTTTTGGTACCGGGGATTGAACTTGGGTCCTTGCACTTGAGCAGCAGGTGGTGAAACCACTGAGATAAATCCCCGGCCCCCTGATTCTTTGTTTTTCCTCTCTCCTCCAGGTAAAGCAAGGTCCCTGGATTGGTCAGATACTCCCTTGCAGCCCTGGCAGAATCAAGATGAGTCCCATCATGTCTCCCCAGTGAGCCCTACAGCCTGAACAGATAGCATGGCCTGCAACTGGCAGTGAACAACATGGCTACAGGAGGTGGCCGGACCTTTTCTTGGCAGGTGTTCCCCCCCATGCCCACTTGCCGGGTATATGCCACAGTGGCACACCAGGATGGGCACCTGCTAGTGTTGGGGGGCTGTGGCCGGGCTGGGCTACCCCTGGACACTGCTGAGACACTAGATATGGCCTCACACACATGGCTAGCACTGGCGCCCCTGCCCACTGCCCGGGCTGGTGCCGCTGCTGTGGTTCTGGGCAAGCAGGTGCTAGTGGTAGGTGGTGTGGATGAGGCCCAGAGCCCAGTAGCTGCTGTGGAGGCCTTCTTGGCTGATGAAGGCCGCTGGGAGCGTCGGGCCACCCTCCCTCAAGCAGCCATGGGGGTTGCAACTGTGGAGAGAGGTGAGTGGCTACCCAAAGAAGGTTCTTCAGGTGCCCCAATACCCTCTGCTCACTCCTGACTTGGTCCCTTACCCAGTGAGACTGAACAAGAGTTTCCTTGGATGTGGCCTTGCCCCTTGTATCCTCTGCTACCTACTCTGACCTGGGCTTGCAGTAGCCTTCTGTTAACTGATTTTTCTGGCTGGGAGGTGGGGGCAAAGCCCAGGCTAACTAAGTGATGGGAGGCCCCAGCCCCATTCCTCATCTCTAAGAGACAATGTGTGTGTATGGGGGGGTGTGCAGTGGCCTGATGACTTTCATGGTTATAAATAGTCTAAGATGCAGGGAGGGGAGTAGGGCCTTGGCTCAGAGCCCAGTAAGTGCTTAACTGCTCAGACTCCCCTCCCCCAGCACACACACCAGGGATCTTGATGTGGACAGAAGCCAAGCTGACCTGGAGATGGTTGCCATGGAAGCCCTCAGTTCATAGGCGCATTACTCAAAGGCCCCAGACATGCCTCTAATTCACCCCCAGGGCCTAACAGAAGGCAAGAACTCTAGTGTAAAAATGTAGTATAGAGGTGCTGGCAGGACCAAGGGATGAATGGTTGTGGCTAGCACCTCTATCCTTTAGGTCTAGCCCCTCTCCCAGCCTCACCTCCACCCCCAATTTATCCCCAGAATCTCTGCCCCAGATTTAGCTCCATGCTAACCAAATCCCTATATGCCCCCAACTCTTGTGTCACCCTCCCTCTCTCATCAGGGGAGCCCCTACCTTGTGGCCTCCAGGTCTGACCACTGGTCCCAACCAGCCAGACTTGGTTGCCATAGCGTCTCCAGGGAGACAAAGCTGGATTATAATTAGATCAGCTGCTTCCTGCTCTTCACTCAGAAGGGCCTCAGCCAGAGCAGAAAGCTCTCTCAGCTTCCATTCCAGATAGGTTTCAGGGTTTCAGACAAGGACATGGATGTCCAGCCATACCTTGCCTAACCAGGGAAGCTGTCAAGATGGAGTTCCTTGGCCAGGCTGGGGTGTAATCTGAATTACTCTTTTCTATACAGATGGTATGGTGTATGCTTTGGGAGGAATGGGCCCTGACACGGCCCCCCAGGCTCAAGTACGGGTGTATGAGCCTCGCCGGGATTGCTGGCTTTCACTACCCTCCATGCCCACACCCTGCTATGGGGCCTCCACCTTCTTGCATGGGAACAAGATCTATATTCTGGGTAAGTTCCTAGAGGATGTGGGAAAGGGATTCAGAGTCCAGAAGTCCCCATCCCCATAGGTTGGCTGGGTTAGGAATCAGGCATAGTCTGAGACAGCAATACTTAAGAAGCTTTGTTGGGATGATCCAGGCCTACTCTGAGGCTCTGATCTCTGGTGACCCTGCTAGGATTGAAAAACCAAACCCCAGTGCCTGAATGTCTGTAGGATGGATAATCTGCATGCACTTGTGCAAACAGGTGGGCATGGGAGGCTGAGGCAGACAGATCAGCAATCTGGAGAGTGAGGAGCCCACCAAGTCCCTTGGCCTTCCTCCCAGCTCCCCCAATTCCATTGACAGGGGGCCGCCAGGGCAAGCTCCCAGTGACTGCTTTTGAAGCTTTTGATCTGGAGGCCTGTACCTGGACCCGGCACCCAAGCCTACCCAGCCGCAGGGCCTTTGCTGGCTGTGCTATGGCCGAAGGCAGCGTCTTTAGCTTGGGAGGCCTGCAGCAACCTGGGCCCCACAATTTCTACTCCCGCCCACATTTTGTCAACACTGTGGAGATGTTTGACCTGGAGCATGGTGAGCAGGGGCTGTCCTGGGCTGTCTTCTTACTCTCTGCGGGATGGAGGGGTATAGTGTTTGTGAGGCTAGATGTGTTCTCTCCTCTCTTCCAGGGTCCTGGACCAAGCTACCCCGTAGCCTACGCATGAGGGATAAGAGGGCTGACTTTGTGGTTGGCTCCCTTGGTGGCCACATCCTGGCCATTGGGGGCCTTGGTAAGTTTCTGTGGGACTATGGAGAGGGGGGCCCAAGACAGGAAAAAGTTACCCCCTAGTAGGAGTACTTCCTTCTTCAGCCACTGTAGAGGTGTCAGGACTTTGTGAGCTCCCTTTTCCTACCCACAATTCAAGCAAATTGTAGTCTGCCTGGCCCAGCTCTCAGGGTATCCCCAGTGCCTGACTGGGGCTCTGTATCAGCAGGGGTCTAGGAGACAGTGGCAGGACTGAATGCATGGCCAATTGGACAAATCAAAACACGAGTGATTGAATGAACAAATGATGAACAGGACAATGAGGAGTACTGAAAGCCCATCCTGGGGTGATACTGGGCCCTTCTCTGGGCTCAGGGAAAAAAAAGCCTGGAGTCCCTTACATACAACCATCTGTCTCCTTCATGCAGGAAACCAGCCATGCCCTCTGGGCTCTGTGGAGAGCTTCAGTCTTGCACAGCGGCGCTGGGAGGCACTGCCCACCATGCCCACAGCCCGCTGCTCCTGCTCTAGTCTACAGGCTGGACCCCGGCTATTTGTTATCGGGGGTGTGGCCCAGGGCCCCAGTCAAGCTGTGGAGGCACTATGTCTGCGTGATGGAGTCTGAAGGCTTGGTGGGACATGTCCATTGGAGCAGCTCAGTGCAGAAGCAGATGCCTGTAGCTCCTTTTGCTGCTGAGGGAGCTCTCTGTGGGATGAGGGAGGCACAGAGGTGGGCACTTGAGGCACTGCCTTTGGTACCTTGATTGGGTAGCCTTTGTCTTTAGCAGAAGACATACATAAGCTCACACCTACCTTTACCACCATTCACTCATGAACATACCTATCTCTGCCCTTGCCCTGCAGCCTACTAGGCCCTCTGACCAACTGGGAAGTGTGGAGATGAAAGACCTGGCCTTGCATCCTGCAGTATAGTCACTGTCTAGAGTTGACCAGGCCACCCCTATGGTCATTCCTGGAAAATCCTAGTGGCCACTCTATCTTGAGGGTTCTTGCAGTCCCAGAAGTGTTCAGAGAGGGTTAGGGACACAGAAGGAATGGAGTAAAGGATGTGGGAACCTCCAGGGGCAAGAGGAATCCTGGCCTTGGGCCCTCTACACTGCTGTTGTATGACCTTGGGCAAGTCATTTTATCTCTGTGCCTCAGCATCCTCATCTGTCAGTGGGGATCTCTAAAACCTTCCTGCCCTACCTACCTCACAGGGCTGTTGTGAGGACCCAGGAAGGCTGGATGTGGAAGTAAAGGTTCTGATAAAATCTGGTGCGGGGCTTCTGGTGTGGACTCCCGTGTTGTCCTCACAGCCTCTACCCTCCTCAGGGACCTTTGCTCTCCCAGGGATGAGGCCCTCCAGGGAGCTACTTGTATCTAGCCTCTGTCCCCAAAGTGAACTGGTATCTCAGCCCCATCTAACCCTCAGCTTTGCCTTAGATGACATGGGATAGTAGCACTCCTCTACTGTCTTAGGAATTGGGGACACCAATGGAGAAAGAAGAGCTCAAATAACAACAATAAAACTCTACAGGTTTAGAATAACCTCTGGGTCCAAATCACACAGCATTACAGTGTCTTCTCAAGACTTCTGCTCACCGCTGAAGGGAGAGGTGGTTCAGTGCAGGTGATAGCCAAGGCTCCCTCTCTGTCAGCTGTGGGGAGCCATTTCCCAGGCAGGTCTGTGTAGCTACCCACCGAACTCCTCTAGGCCTCCTCCTAGAGGAAGCTGTCAGCCTTTGTCTCTTCATCTAGCTTTTTTAACTTTTGTTATTTAAATTCTGTCCTGGAGATTAAACCAAGTACCTTGGACATGCTAGGTAAATGCTCTGTCACAGAGTGACACCCCCAGCCCCTTGTTTTTATTATTTTGAGACAGGTCCTCAGTTTCCCAGGCTGGCCTAGAACTTGTGATCCTCTTCCCTTGGACTCCTGAGTAGCTGGGATTACAGGTGTGTGCCCAGCTTCTCCAGCCTTTGGTGCCCACTAGTAGAACTGCTAGCTGTGCTTTCCTTGCAGCTACACTGAGTTTCCAGCTGTTTGCTGAAGTTGTGGAGAAGTGTTTGGACCTACTTATTGTTGGTCAGGGCAACCCTTCTGGATGCTGGGTCTCTTCCAGGCCTTACTCTTTCTCACCTGGTGGCAATGCTCCCATGGAAGTGCCACCACAGCCCAGCATGTGGAGACCATATACTCAAGTGCCATGGGAATCAGGCTCTGGGCCTGGCTGCCCACCACTGCACACTAGCTCCTGAGACCTTTTGGGCTGCAAGTACAGGCAGGCTGTATGTCAGCTGACCTTGTTTAATGCTCAGGACCAGTGTAGGCACTCAGACCCCAGGGTGAAGGTAGTGCTGCAGTAGCTTGGGTCTTGGGATTGCTGGGAGGTCAGGCATTGTGTCAGTGACAGGCACTTGCGGCCCTATCTTGTCACTGCCACAGCGACCACCAAGGGATGATTGGCAGAAATTTCGCTGGTAGGTAGTACTGACATAGGGAGGCTGGATTTGCACAAAGTGAACATGGTGCTGCGGAAGGCTATCAAGTCCTGAGCCTGACTGGAAATCAGACTGGTAGGAAGATTTCAGGGGCTGCTGCTGGCTCAGCTCCAGCTCACAGGGTGCACAGCGCAAGAAGGTGTGCCTCTGCCACAGACGCTTCAGATCTTTCTGCCTTCCAGTTCCCTGCAGCAGACAGTAAGGGCCCTCCCCAGTGGTACAGGCCCTTAGCCCACAGTCGGCCCCTGGCATCTCCATGGGCCCCACCTAATCCCAAGTCTTATGATGCCTGGCCTGTGCAGGCCCTACCCCTACCCTGGCTTCACTGACTGCCTCCTCAGTGATGCTGTCTATTCCAGTGTGAAGCCCGTCAGTGGGCCCCAGGACATTCCCGTATTGTCAAGGAAGCTGGCTGAGGAAATCAATGCAGAGGTGCTGCCTCTGTTTGGGGAATGTACTGTTTCCCAGAGGATAAAGGTTATGGAGGAGAGAGGTACTCTACCTTTTTATGGAGTGCCTGCTCCCCTCAATGTCTTTCCCTGCCACCCCACCACCTGCTCTGCCCTCTACTTCCACCTAGGCCAAAGGACCATCCTCTCTCCTTCCTCCCTAGTACTCACTTTGTCATAGGAAGTGCGGTTGTCATGCTTGGAGAAGAAGTGTTGCTGTGCTGGTTCCTTGAAAAAAAGAGGGATGATACTTAATTCCCCAGATAGTGCCTCAGGGTCTTTATTAGGGGGAAACTACAGGAAACCACCCCTCAACTGCTACAGTGTTAACACCCTGAAAGGTCAAAGGCACATTAAAGCAGCACCTCACTCCTAGGACATGACCTGGGATTTGTCCTAACTAAAAACCTTTGAAGTCTCTGGGCTGAGGCTTCTGTCGGGCATCCTTCCATGAGTGGGGCCTTTTACTCTAGATTGCCCAGGACTGGATTTCAGTCTTCTCTTCTCCCTCCATCCACACTTACTCCTTCGACAGCGCACCCACATCCTGGGCCCTAAATGCCATCTGGAAACTGAAACTTCTGTCTCTAGCTCAAGGTGATTCCTGGACCCCAGGCACAAAAATAGCCAACTGCCTTCTCCACATTTCTGTATTAATAGCAGGCAGAACATCTCTAAACACATGACTGAGCTTCAGATCATCCCCCAGACTCTGTATAGCCCCAGCTCAGGATATGACAGCTAGATCCTGCCAAACACCTCAGAGTTCCCTTTGTTCTTTTCTCTCTCATTCCACATCTAATGTGGCAGGAAATCTTGTTGATAATTCCTTCCAAGTGTACCCAGGAATTACAATGGCTTTCTCTGATTCAAACCACTTTCCTCTGTTGCCCGAATTATTCTAAGTTTCCTGCCTAGTGTCCCTTCTTTCAAGCTTACCGCTCCAGTCTGTCTAGAAATTTTTAGCACATTAATCCAGTCACATCTTTGCCAAAAGTCCACAACAGCCAAAGTCATCATAGTGGTCCATAAGACCCACAAGCTACTGACCCTTCCCTATTAGTTCTACTTCCAGCCATATGGGCCTTCTCCCTACTCAGACATGCCAGGGATTTGCTTCTCAGGCCTTTGCACCACCTGTTCCCTCAGCTAGCCATAAAACTTCTTACTTCTCGGGGCCGGGGATTTAGCTCAATGGTTCCATCGCCTGCCTTGCAAGGGAAAGGACCCAAGTTCCATCCCCAGTACCAAAAAAAACAAAAACAAAAAAACCTTCTTAATTCTCTCAGGAAATACCTTCCTTGAGCACTGTGAGAGTAATCCCATGTCCCCAACTTTTTTTTTTTTGGTACCAGAGATTGAACTCAGGACCTTGTGCTTGTGAGGCGGGCGCCAGAACCACTGAGCTAAATCCCCGGCCCCCCAACTCTATTTTTTACCTCCTAACACTCTATAGTTATATATTATTTCCTATCATCTGACCCTCCTGCCCCGCATAGAACATAAGCTCTTTGTAGGTAAAGGTTATTGTCTGTCATGCTCACATCTCTAACTTCAACACTGAGAACAATGCCTGACATTGTGCTCAATAAACATTTGCTGTTAAACCAATGGATGAGAACAGAAGATTTCAGCCCCAGGGTATTTGCTTGGGCTTAGTTGGGGCCAGAAAGCCTTGCTCTATTCCCAAGCAGAGAAAGACCACGTAATATTGAGGCTTCTAGACCTTGGCAGGAATGTCTCCCAAGTCCAACTCCTTGTCATTGTGCCTGCTATCTGCCTCTAGAGCCATCCCTCCCCCATCCACTTGGAATGTTACAGACCTGAAGAGGTTGGATCTGGTGAAATTGGGCTTGGCTGGGTTGGAGGTATGAGCAATGGTTGACAACAGGTTCCCAGATAAAATGCAGGGGCTGGGTGCCTGGGATGTACCTTAGTAGAGTGCTTGCCTAGCATACTTGAGGTACCCGGCTTTGATCCTCGGCACTACACAGCATCCGTGCATGTGCAGACACACATATGCATGCACACACAGACCAAGGGCTGGCTCCATCCCAGATCCCTGAACCAGTCAAGGTAGAGTCTGCAGTATGTCTTTTAGAGTCTCCCCTTTTGGGACCTCTTGTTATACTACAGTGGTAGCCTCTAAACAGAAAGTAAACTCTGAAGATGGGAAACCAGCCACCTTTACCTTTCATTCCTCATGAAGCAAGGTGATAAAACAGAAACTCAGGGCTCAGTGATAGAGCATGGGGTTGGCATGTGCAAAGTCCTGGGTTCAATCTTCAACACCAAAGCAAAATAAACAAAAACAACCAACAAAACAAAACAATCCCAGGACCCTTTTAGGAAACAAAAAAATCTTCAGACTCTGAAGCTAAGGTAAAAAGTTTTCAGACTTGACACCAAAACAGCTATAAAAGAAAAAATAAATTGGACTCATCAGAAAAAATTTTTAAGGGCCGGGGATTTAGCTCAGTGGTTCCAGCACCTGCCTCTCAAGTGCAAGGTCCTGAGTTCGATCCCCAGTACCAAAAAAAAAATTTTTTTTTAAATTTGCCCTATGAAAATCTATGTGAGGACCAAGGGTTTAGCTCAGTGGTTCTGCCACCTGCCTCGAAAGCTCAAGGTCCTGAGTTCGATCCCCAGTACCAAAAAAAAAAAAAGAAAATCTATGTGAGGGCCAGGGATTTAGCTCAGTGGCTTCCACCTACCATGCAAGCACAAGGTCCCGAGTTTGATCCTGGTACAAAAAACAAAAACCAAAGAACAAAAAAACCCATATCCAACAAAGGACTAGTATCTAAAATATAGAATGGGCCAGGGATTTAACTCAGTGGCACCATGCCTGCCTCGAAAGCGCAAGGTCCTGAGTTTGATCCCTGTTACCAAAAAAAATAATAAAATAAAATAAAATATAGAAAGAACTCCACCATCTCAACAAAAAAAATAATAATCTAATTAGACAATGGGCAAACAACAGGAAGCTATTTCACCAAAAAGAATAGACAGATGGCAGATAACACATCAAAAGATGTTCAACATCATTAAATAGTAGGGAAATGCAAATCAAAACCACAATGAAATATCACTACTGTCTATCAGAATGACTAAAATTAAAAATAGAAACAACACCAAATGTTAGTGAGAAAGCAAAGAAACTAAATCATTCATGCATTGCTGGTGGAAATGTGAAATGGTACAGCCACTCTGGAAAACAGCTTGACAGTTTATTTAAAAAGCTAAACATGCAACCACCATATGACCCGGCAATTGTACTTCTGGGCATTTATCCCAGAAAAATAAAAACTCATGTTCACCAAAAAAAATCTGTGCCCAAATGTTCATAGCAGCTTTATTTATAAAGCCAAAAAACTGGAATCATTTTAGATATCTAATATTGAATGGTTAAACAAACTGGCACATATGTGCCATGGAATACTACTCAGTAATGAAGAAATGAACTATTGATACACGCTTGGATGACTCTAGGAAATTATAATGAGCAAGAAAAATCAATCTCAAAATGTTGCATACTGTATTATTCTATTTATATAGCATTTTGGTTTTGGTTTTTTTGGTACCAGGGATCAAACTTGGGTCCTTGTGCTTGCGCAGCAGGCAGTGAAACCACTGAGCTAAATCCCCAGCCCTATTTTGTTTTTTTGAGGCAGGGTCTCCCTTTGTAGTTCAGGCTAGCCCTGAACTCACTATATAGCCCAGGCTAGCCTTGAACTCGAGGTGATCCTCCTGCCTCAGCCTCCAAAGTGCTGGGATTACAGGCATGCACCACCACATCTGACTATACAGCTTTTTGGGGGGAGGGTACCAGGGATCGAACTCAGGTCCTTGGGCTTACAAGGCAGGTGGTGGAACCACTGAGCTAAATCCCTGGCCCAATATAGCATTTTGTTTTGGTACCAGGGATCGAACTTGGGACCTTGTGCTTTCGAGGCAGGTGCCAGAACCACTGAGCAAAATCCCCGGCCCCCAATATAGCATTTTTTTTTTTGGTACTGGGGATCGAACTCGAGTCCTTGTGCTTGCACAGCAGGCGGTGAAACCACTGAGCTAAATCCCCAGCCCAATATAGCATTTTTAAGTGATCAATTTTTACAAATGGAAGAGAGATCTATAGGGACAGAGAAGGGGGAAGGAATGGAAGGCGGGCAGATGGAGATAAAAGTACAGCACCAGTGATCCTTGTTATGTTGGTCAGAATCTAAACTATGGTGGTGGATAGATGAACCCACACAGACCATAAAATTTTATAGATTTAACACACAAATAAGTGCAAGTAAAATGAAATCTGAATGAGATTGGTGGACTGCATCAATGTCAACATCCTAGTTTTTTGAGTTTTTTGTTTTTTGTTTTTGGTACAGGGGATCAAATTCAGGACCTTGAACTTTCGAGGCAGGTGCGGTGCCACTGAATGAAATCCCTGGACCCCTAGTTTTGATATACCACAGCTTTGGAAAATGTTATCACTGAAGGAAAATGGGCAAAATGAAGGAGAGAATTTTGTTTATTAGGCCTGATAACTGCTTATGAATCTTTAATCATCTCAATGAAAGTTTTAATTTTAAAAAATCTGGGAGCCTGGGACAAGTCCCAATAGCCTCTCAGTTTTTCACCCGTCTCAATGTCCTCAGAACTGTACACTGCTCTAGAATGAGTGCCTCTGCTGTTGTAGGCAGCTCATTATGCCTACAGTGCCAGGATAATCTGTCAACTCCCACTGATTCAAGTTTGCTCTCTCAAAACTGTGGGAGCCTAGCAAGAAAAATAGTCATTTCCTCTACAGCCTAGGCTCTTCTGAGTATTCTTGCTGCTGAGAATTATCACTTGCATCCTTGTTTCTAAAATGGTAGGGGCCCCTTTCTCATGGAGGTGGTGAAACCTACATTTTCTAAGCGGCTGGGTCTAGACCTCTGATTCCCTGTTTCAGAGGTCTTGGAGGGCAGAGGTAGGTTTCCTGGGAGGAGGCAGTATTTGTATGTGGGTGACCAAGGGCCCTGTGGAGTCTGGGTGTCACAGTCAGTGGGTGCTGAGAAAGGAACCTCTATGTCAGACCAAAGTGTGGGGCACACTAGGGGCAGAGCAGTTTTGGCACTACAGATGAGGACCTGCCCCCATTGGTAAGTCTCCTGGACCAGTGTTTGACTTTAGGAACAAAGATAAACAGGGATAGGCAAGTGAAGGCTAGAATAAATAGATCAATATAGTTCAGAAGAAACATGAAAAAGAAAAAATAATTTTCTTGCACCTGAATGTCACAGACAAAATTTTTACCTCCCCCAAAGGAAAATAAATGCCACATCTTAGAAAGGCTTTCAACAACAGTAGCTGCAATCAGCCAACTGAATCCTGGTATGTCCCAATCAATGAAAAAGTAAAATGTGCATCTTCCCTGAGAAGTTCTATTAATTAAAACAGCTCTAAATCTAGAAAGAGTTGCTGGGAATTTAGCTCAGTGGTTCCGCTGCCTGCCCTGCAAGCACAAGAACCTGAGTTCCATCCCAGGTACCCCCCCCCCAAATTTAGTAAATCTAGAAAGAGCCATGAGATTTGACATTTATGCAACCTGAGCCCAAAACACAGATCATGTTATTTGGAGCTGCTGATAATGCTAGTTAATTCTGCAAGTCTTTGCTCTGATCAGTAGCTAAAACATGTACTCTACATGTCTGTTCCTGGGGTATGGGTTTGACAGCTTGAGAGGATATTCTGGTTTCTGGGATAAGAGCTGCCACTATGGGCTAGAGCAAACATCCAGCAGGAAGGCTCTGAGTTACTTGTGTCCTTGTATTGTCCCTTATCTATTACTCTGAAAAGTGAGATATCTCCTAGCCAGGCATGGTGACACATTCTGGTAATCCCACCATTTGGGAGGCTGAGGCAGGAGGATCACTGCAAGTACATGGTGCTACATAGTGAGTTCCTGGGCTATGTAGTGAGTTCAAGGCCAGTCTGAACTACATAATGAGACACTGTCTCAAAAAAAAAAAGAGAGATGGCCCCTAATGGGCAGTCTAGAGAGCTGCATTTGGGCCTGGCTTGGTAGGCAGTGCCAGGCAGTCCTTCCAACTGGAAATACTAAAATACTATAGAAATTCAGGTTGCAAAATATAGTAGCCTCCAGGACCCTACTCTCAGCCTAGGAAAGTAATTCCTGAAGAATCTGGGATGGAAGCTCCAGTAGGACCTGGCAAGAGGCTAGGAAACAAAAAACTGCCAGAGCTAAAGTATGTTTCAGGCACCCTTCAGGTTGCTCTGGGCTTCCCTCCACCCTGCTCTTGCTTAGGAGGTAGATCTGAAAGCACATATCACCAGGCTCCCTTTCCTCTATATGGTGGAGTGCCTAGAGCCCAGCATCCCTCTCTTCTCTGGAAACTTGTTCTGGCCACTCTGAGATGCCTCTGCCATCATTTCTTTCCATTCTTCCCTAGCTAGATGTGTGAGCTGGTACCCAGTCACCTCCTACATTACTTCCCTGCCCAACAAGAAGTGCCTCCTGGGCCGGGGATTTAGCTCAGTGGTGCTGCCACCTGCCTCACAAGCACAAGGTCCAGAGTTCAATCCCCAGTACCAAAAAAAAAGTGCCTCCTACTCATTTCCGAGGCCCTGGACTGCAAGACTGCCTGTGAGCTGACAATAGGCTTTCATGGCATCAAGGAATCTGAGCCTGAGGGCAGTTCAGCAAATTCAAGATTTCCTTCCTGGCATATGAAGGCTTTCCCCCCAGTAGTTCTACCCACCCTTCCTGCGCTTGGGTTCTTTTCCCTGGAAGGGGCAGTGAACAAGACTGTTCGGCAAGACTGCACCTACTCTTCTCTACCCTGTCATTAGAGGGAATATGTGACATTTCAGGGAAGAATAAGCCTCTTTGCCTGTCTATCCCAGGGCTAGAGTGGCTGTCAGGCTGGTTCTGAAAGGTCTGGAATGATGCTCTTGGAGCTGGGAAAGCCAGGAAGAGTCTCTTGTACCTGAGATCGCTGCAGGAATGCTGCTGGGGGCTGGGGCTTGGCCGCACGGCGATACCCTCCAGCACTTTCACTCTTGACTTGGCCTCTAGAGTGCCCGTAGAAGCCACTGTTGTGCTATAACAAAGCAGTCATGAGGTTAAAGCCCACTGACATCAGTCCTCAGAGCATCGCCTGAGAGTTTCAGAGAAGCCAGGTCAGAAGCTCCTCTCTGGAGTTTCTGAAAAATAGAAATAATCTAGGGCTGGGGATTTAGTTCAGTGCCGCTGCACCTGCCTCGAAAGAGCAAGGTCCTGAGTTTGATCCCTGGTATTGGAAAAAAAATTTTTTTAATTAAAAAAAAGAATAGATGTTGTATACCTAAAATGTACTAATAAAAGAATTTAACAAAAAAATAAAAAAGAATAGAAATAATCTAAAGAGGTGGAACACTCCTGGAAAGGGCCATCAGGGGCCATTATTGGGGCAGTTTACCTCACCTATGCTCACCCACCTGGGAGAGCTGTGTGTGTGAGACAGTGGCACCATTTATTTAGAGCAGACTTCTATGGGCAGGGCCACTGTCCAGTGGTGTGGTCCTTGTCTAAGGAATCTGAGAGTAAGTCCCCCTTGCTGTCCTTCCCACAGTGTTAATAGTGGACCATGGGTCCTCCAAAATCAAGGGGAATAGATCCTTCCACATCTACTGACAAAGTTATGAACACCCATTTTCCCTACTGTCTGCTATTCTGGGTCATTCTGAACTTGGAGCACCAAAGCAAGGGAGAAACTTTCCAAATGAAGTATTTAACCAACAGAGAATAACTTCTGGAAAGAATGAGAGAGAGAGAGAGAGACAGAGAGACAGAGAGAGAGACAGAGAGAGAGAGAGAGAGAGAGAGAGAGAGAGAGAGAGAGACTGACAGAAGACAGAAATGACCACCTATCAGGGATCTAAGAAAGACTCTTACTGTGCTGATGTCTTTGGGTGGACACCTTATGGGAAATCTGGGAACTCGGAAGGCCCAGTCTTTCTCGGCTGAGTTCCCTTGAGGATAGGAGTGTCCTCCACAATCACAATCCTAGCAAAGGAACTTGTCCTGAGTCTGGCCTCTGGCCACCATAGTAGACTCTTCAATAGCCCTGAGAAGCCCCATGTGTTTTCACTCAATTGAAAACAGGTCACCTTATTTATCTGTCCACCCCTCTACTATTAAGAACCATTTGCTTCCTAGTTTTGCTTAATAGTATTTACTGGGTTGCAGGCAAGGAGCTGGGTTGTGGAAATAAAAGGGGCAAAACCTACAATTATTGACCTAAGATATTCCCAGATTAGAAAGCAGTCAAATTCCAGAAGTTTGGGAGGTCAGTTCTAATAGTGAAATGGGAATAAAGGGGGTGATGAGAGAAGTAGGAGGTTCAGCTGGTGAACCTTGTATTCAGGAAATGAGGATGTATAGAAGGGGCCATGATGTCAGGAAGACTAAGCAGTCTTCAGGGGTGATCTCCGAATGAAAGAGGGTAAGAGAACAGCTCAGTGTCCTCCACCAGCCTGGATGCTGGATGAAACCTTCTTACTTCACCCTTATGACTCAGATTTTATGTCCAACCCCAGGGGCAGGTGCCAAGGTTAACTATAAAGTGTACTTTACCCAGGAGCCTACTAAAGCACTTTCCATCTTTCCAGGAAGGAACCAGAAAAGGCAAATTTTCCTTTTGTTGAGGTCACATCTGAGGAAAGAGAACCTCAGGAGGTCAACTTCTTGTTCCTTAGTGACAGAAGGAGGTTGTGACTGCACAATACTGCTGTTTATTGAGGCAGCCCATGGCCTGGTCCTTTGTTTTTGTTGCTCTGTTTTTTCCTCTCTGTGAGAGACATCCTTTGCATTATCAGCCTGGGGGAGCCCTTATATAAACACATAGGGCTCCACAGTGGAATCTGATAGATTCACAATGAATGAAATTTCCTTTTCATAGTCAATGAAATATTAAAGACCAAGGTATGGTGGTGCACACCTGTAATCCCAACCAGGAGGATCTCGGTTTGAGGCCAGCCTAGTTCAAGGCCAGGCTAAACTACATAGGAAGACACTGTCTCAAAATATCAAAAAAAAAAATTAAACTTTTAGAGGTAACTCCTGCATTTTAAAACCTATGCAACCACATTGCCAGAGATATAAATTTAGAAAGCATTCCATGGATTCAGAGATGTTAAACAGGTTAGTGGTTCTTAGGATAAAATTGCTGCTTCAAAATAAGGCTCTGTCAACTTATCTGTTCGGAGTTCATGTGATTGGGAATATGGGAATACTAATTGTGACAGGTAAATATTACAAGGACCTGAGTGAAGGAGGAGAACATAACAGAGTACCATGAGAAGAAACATGCAAAGATTTGACATATTGGTTCCATTCTGAGCTATCCCGGTGTTGCAGAATTCCAAGAGACAGGCTCTCCTGTCTCCAATGGGAGTCAAGAGGATTTATTTCAGGTTTTAGGTGAACACTGGCTTAATGAACTCCTGTCCAAAGGAACAGCAACAAACAAAGAGAAGTTCTAGTTTTTATACATTTGGTTGAAGGGAGTTTAGTCTTTCCAGTGACGTGTAACTGGGGGGTGGGGTGGTCAAGTTAGGTTACAGAAGTGTGACAAAGGCAGTTATTCACATATCACACAGTAATAGCCTTGAAAGAAGATAGAGCCTTGTGAATCTTGTGAGAACAAGATGATACTACCAGAAGAAGAAATTACAGCTAAGGGGTCGGGGGCGGGGGGTGATGCAAAGTGGGGTTAATTGTCCAAGGCTGGGAAGAACTTGTTCTTTAAGTCCTGCTTCACTTGGAAAAGTTATTGATGTTCTATTTTATTTGTTAATAGAGATCTGAACAGTAGGCAATCAACCTCTAAAAATGTGCCAGTGAAAAAACCTAACAGTCAGTCGTGGTGGCACACACCAGTAATCCCAGCACTCAGGAAGCAGAAGCAGGAGGTTTGCAGTGAGTTCAAGGGCAGGCTGCACTACATAGTGAGCTCAAGGCTGGCCTGAAATACATAACAAGACACTGGCTCGAAAAAAAAAAATTCAACGCTAGGAAACACTTAGATCCTGTCGGTGGCCCTGGAACCAGCCATAATGTCATAATGTTAAGAAAATTGACCTCAGTCTAGCTGTCCTGCAGAGCTCATGGTGGGACTCATGGTGATAAAATTATCCCAAATGCCTGGGACCAGAAATGTTTTAGATTTTATAGCATTTGAGATTATGAAATATCTGTATGTATAATGAGGTATCTTGGCTAAGAACTGAACTCTAAACATGAAATTTGTGTTTCATATATACCTTATACATATAGGCTGAATGTAATTATGGTTTTTTTTTTTTCCTGGTACTGGGCATTGAACTCAGGACCTTGCGCTTGTGAGGCAGGGACAGCACCACTGAGCTAAATCCCAGTCCTATTTTTTTTTTTTTTTTTGAAATGGGATCTCTCTATGTTTCCCAGGCTGGCCTTGAACTCCTAAGCCTCAGCAGGGACTACTACTCAGCAAACATAACCACTCCTGGCTTTATATTTTTAGTGCACTTGAGGGAGTTTTAATCATTATCCATCACATGAGTTGTGTAGAATTATCCACTAATCACATCATGTTGGCACTCAAAAAGTTTCAGATATTGGAATATTTCAGATTTTGGAGACTTCATATGAGGGATGCTCAACTTGTATAGGAGAAAACCTAAGTAGCCTGACAATGAGATGACTAGAAAACTGAGCTGTAATCACCCTGAAATACTAAAATGACTATGAATGAGCATTGATAATTAAATGAGAACATGTGCGTGTCAGCTTAATAACAATAAATTCCATCTTCACAGGCACATAACTTGTGTAGGTAGGTGGAATTGCTGCCTTTGAATGGCCAGTTGGCACAGGGCATGGAACACCTGATACACACAAGTTTCCAAGTTTTGATGTCACTGACATGTCACAGGTGCAGTAGGCAGAGGTAATACTGAATTGTGCCCTCCATGAGATCTGTTGTCACCCATGCGGTCCTTGTTTGAGCAGTGTACAATCAGGTCATGAAAAATATCATCAAGCATCACATTACAATGTTAAAAGTTGACATTCTTGTGGGGCCACATTACTAGCTGTCCTGGTCCTTGAATTGGACATAGCTTTTAGTTCATATATTTGTATCCACAAATAAAACATGACATTATTTTGCAAGTCTATATTATAAATTATATACTCTGTATCTTTTTACAACTTGGCTTTTTTCTTTCATTATTGGAGATTGAACACAGGGGCTGGTACACACTAGGTAAGTGCTGTACCACTGAGCCACATCCCAGCACATTTTTTTTTTTTTTGGTACTTGGGATTAAAGCCTGGACTTTCTCACTGGGCTAAATCTCCAACCCTTTAAAAAAATTTTTTGCTGAGTATGGTGGATCCCGGGATTCGGGAGGCTGAGGCTGGAGGATTGCCATGAGTTTGAGGCCAGCCTGAACTATATAGTGAGTTCAAGGTCAGCCTGAACTATATATAGCATGACCTTGTCTCAAAAAAATTTTTTTTTAGGGCTGGAGATTTAGCTCAGTGGTGTCATCACCTGCCTTGCAAGCACAAGGTCCCGAGTTTGGTCCCCAGTACCAAAAAAATTTCTGTTTAAGTGCTGGGGATTTAGCTCAGTGGCACTGTGCCTGCCTTGCAAGCTCAAGGTCCTGAGTTTGATCCCCGGTACCAAAAAAAAATTTTTTTTTAATGTTCAACATCACTGGTCATTCATGAAATGCAAATTAAAACAATGCTGAGATTCTATCTCATTCCAGAAAGAGTGGGTGTTATCAAGAAATCAACCAGTTGGGGCCAGGGATCTAGCTCAGTGGTTCCACTGCCTGCCTCGCAAGCGCAAGGACCTGAGTTTGATCCCCGACACAAAACAGAACAAAACAAAAAGAAATCAACAGTAACAAATACTGGAGGGGCTGTGGGGAAAAAGGAACCCTTCTCCACTGTTGGTGGGAGTGTAGACTGGTGCAAACACTGTGGAAATCAGTGTGCAGGTTTTTCAAAAATCTAAACCTAGAGGTTCCATTTGACCTAGCAATTCCTCTTCTTGGTATCTTCCTGGAAGAATTAAAAGCACCACACACTCAGTGATATATGCACACCCATCTTTTTTTTTTTTTTTGGTACCGGGGATTGAACTTGGGTCCTTACGTTTGCGAGGCAGGTAGCAGAACCACTGAGCTAAATCCCCGGCCCAACACACCCATCTTTATAGCACCAGTTTGTAATAGCTAAATCTTGGAAACAGTCCAAATGCCCATCAACTAATGAATGGATAAAGAAGATGAGTTTTTTTTATATAATGGAGTACTACTCTGCCACAAAGAAGGATAAGCTTAGGGCTAGAGATGTAGCTCAGTGGTGCTGCATCTGCTTGGCAAATGCAAGGTCCTAAGTTTGATCCCTGGTACCACCAAACAAACAAAAAAACCCAGGTACAATCTAGGAACCTTCAATGGATCTTAGATCCAAAAGAAGGATAAGCTTGAGACATTTCTAGCTACATGGATTCACCTTGAGACCATACTTTTTTTGTTTGTTTGTTTTGTTTTGTTTTGGTACCGGGGATTGAACTTGGGTCCTTGCGCTTGCGCAGCAGGCAGTGAAACCACTGAGCTAAATCCCTGGCCCAAGACCATACTCTTAAGTGAAATAAATCAAATCGGACACACAGGTTTAAAGACTGCATTGTTTCTCTGGTGTGAGAAAATGAAAGTGGAAATAAGGATTAAAATGTATAAAAGATATTGGGAAATGTGAAGAAAATGTTCAAATGGGAAGGGGAACAAGGAAGGAGGGAGGGAGAAAGGAAGGGACAAGAAAAAAAAGTGAAAATAGAAAGAAAAAAATGGAAACAATGATTTTGTACATAGAGAGGGGAGGGAGCTTGAGGGGTGGGAGGGAAAATGGGGGCGGGATGTACCATGTACAGGTGCGAATTCCCTATGATGAGTGTTATCATTATGTATGCCTAAAATGTACCAATAAATGTTGTGCTATAAAATTTTTTTCCAATTTTGAAGCTGGGTGTGGTGGTGCACACCTGTAATCCCAGCACTTGGGAGGCTCAGGTAGAAAGATTGCTGCAAGTTCAAGGCCAGCCTGAGGTACATAGTGAGTTCAAGGCTAGCAAGACCCCGTCTCAACGTTATTTATTTATTTATTTATTGGTATCGGGGATCAAACTCGGTACCTTGCGCTTGCGAGGCAGGCAGGAAAACCACTGAGCTAAATCCCCGGCCCTGTCTCAACATTTTTTAAAAAATCTTTTTTGGTGGCTAGAGCGATGGCCCGGCCCGGAGCCCGTGGCCGCCCCCGCCACCACTGTGTCAGGAGCGCCCAGAGCCGGAGTAGGGGCCGGAGTCACTGCTGTAGTGGAAGCTGCGCGTGTGAGTTGCCGAAGTCGCCCTTCCAGACACCTCAAACTCAGAGGGAACGCTTGTGGAGGCCAGAGCGGCGGTCGCCCCTCCAGCACCAGCCCCCCTTCTCCCCCAGGCCCAGACAGTTGGGCTAGGGTCTCCCAGGTGCGGGACTGGCTCATCTCGGCCAATACCTTTGAGCCAAGCTCCTTCAAACTGAGGACAGAAGCCAAAGAATGGTGATTACTCCTAACCTCAGCTGGCTTCCTGGCCCAGGTATTTTTT